ATCTCTATCCTACTTCTAACTAACATCCCCAACAACATCACAGGCAGCAGTGAAGCATGGTTCACCCTACTCAGGAAGTTGGCACTGTGGGTGACATGGAAACGCAGATGCACTCAGACAATCGAGGGAACAGAGGTGGCAAGAGAAAAATAGACCAAAAAGACAAGCAACCAAGAAACGGACTTTCATAAGGAACTGGTTGCTAAAAGGCAAGGTGGCAGCGATAGTAGACAATAGACTGAGGTGGAAGAAATGGCACCAGGCAGAAGCATGAAGACCACGAGGGTACATGCCGGGAGACCTGGCAGAAGGTTCTGAATGGTGATCAACAAAAAGAGGACCGGACACACAGGGAAAGACAAGGACAAGCAACAAAACACAGAGCGGACCCCCCCACTGTTCTTGTATTACAGGGACTCGTTCGACAGGCTCCAACTAGAAGCCTGAGAGGAACAAATGGGCAGGGCGAGCTGACAGTCAATCCTCCTTAGAAGGAGCAATCAATGCTGATCAGGGGTCCTTCGGCCAGATGGAAGGAATCATTGAGTGGGTAATATCATGTAATCCGTTTTTCGACTTGCCGGGGGAATAGGAACCGGACTAAAAGCGAGTCAAACGGATCGTCCACTCTGACACAATACAAAAGAAAGGGGAACATATGTGTTGCAGGAGTGAACCCTGCCTAATATAGCTTATCGACCGAATGCTACAGGGATGAAGAAAAGGGGTGGCGATCCCTCATAACATCCAGTACAACAACTTCAGCCAGAGGGGAACAGATTCAGACTATTGCTGCTGCACCGTAGTAGATGGTGAGGAATGGTTCAGAGAGATACAAAGCAAGCCGCAGCGGAATGGGCAAGAAGAAACTTGAGGCTCCATGAACCAACAACAACAACACAAGCTGACCTTTGCGACATCCATTGAAATTGGAACGATACAGAGAAGATTAGCATGGCCCCTGCGCAAGGATGACACACATAAGGTCCAAAAAAAAAAAAACAAAAAAAAAAACAAGACAAGCCACCATCGGAGGAGCCTATTATAGTGAACTTTACATGGGAAGACTGGACAAGGGGTTGTGTACAATTTCCGTCCGCAGCAAATGCTCATTGAAATGCACTCACACCCACACGGGCAGGGGAGAATAGTACTGCATACAGCAAGGCACCATGTTCTCCCTCTCCTCAACACGAAGTGCCCAAGATAGCATTGAGAAGTTGAGAACTACAAAGATGAAGAAGAGAGCTGCTTGTGTCATCCTGTTACCGGACGAAGCCAAGCTGCATGACGGGAAACTGTCACATGTGGTCCTGAGGGCAGGCGTTCTCCACTGACTCGTATCCTACATCATGATATCTTTTTTTTTTTTTTTTTTTTCTTGATGTTGATTCTGATCTTAACAATATGGATGTTGGTTCATGTAGTGATGGACATGTTTTACCCTCAACGCCACGGTAAACAGACCAGTAACGACTGCCAAATGGTGAACCACCGCTTCTTGTGTGTCGATTCAAAACTTGGAGTTTTGAACCTAGGACCTCATTAGTACAATCTTTCTTGGCTAAGCGTATAGATTAGGCCTTTCTGTTTTCCTATTTCACAACCCCCCCACCTCTTCAATTCTGGGGGCAGCAATTATCATCAACCGTTCGTCGTGCCTCCGTGTTGTTAAACAGAAACATGCCGGATGGAATGGATGACTCCAAGTGAAATGAAATGTAAATGGACGGGTGCAGCGTTGACTGTTCCTGCTGCAAAGCGGCGGCCTATTTAATTTCATTTGGTGATCACTGGGAGCACGCAACCCGTGCCGCTGGCCCGGTGGAAACATCCAGGAGGCACGCAGTGTTGGCCCGTCTGGGAGTGTTATGCGTTCGAGACGGAATGCTGATGAAGAGCTGTATGACGGGAAACTGTCACGTACGGTTCGGAGGGCAGAGACTCACTCTGACCACTACCTATTTTAGGTTTTGCTTTAACTGGAAGTAACAATCTGGGCAATAGTAAAGGTAGGGCTTCTCCCCCCCCCCCCCGCCCACTCCCCAATTTGGACCATTTATTGTTTTGTGTGAGTCATCCTTGCACAGAGGCCATGCTAATCTTCTTTGTATGTACTGTTTCAATTTTAAGGCACGCTAGTGGTAATAAATTTTCATTCTGAAAGTTTGCTGGAGTAGAAGAAGGAGAAACAGCATAACTTTTACGGCTGATAGTAGAGAGAGTGGGGCAGCCATAGCCAGGCAGTTCTAGCAGTCCGCTGCTTCATTTTCTTTTCCAGTTGGCTTTTCATCTCAATCAAGTGGGAGGTGTGAGGACACTTGCAAATATTTGAGATTCTTGAAAATCATAACAGTCACTGCCTGTTTGTTTGGAGTGCCTGCAACATTATTAAGGGGGCTGCTGAATTCGCGACGCCTGTGTCTGTGTGTTATTTGGGTGCGCATTCAACAAAGTGGTCCCCTGGCCTGTTCTGCAGGGTTCACTTGGGGTGAGAACAAGTGATAGGCCCGTTCTGGAGGGTTTACATGTGGTGAGAACAAGTGATAGGCCGCTTTGGTCCATGTGGATGTGCGTTTTGCCTTGACTGAGCTGCTCCGCTGCCATGCTGCCTGTTCCCTTGCTGCCTTGTTGCCTCACTGCCCTGCTGCCTTGTTGTCATATTGCCACCCTGCCGCTTGCCTTGTTGTTTGGCTGCCTTGTGCTCACTCGCTGCCCTGTTGTGGCAGTGTGCCTCACTGCAATCTTGCCGCCTCGCTGCAGTGTTGTGCCTGTGTCGCCTCACTGCCTCTGTGCCTTGCTGCCTTGTTGCCTCACTGACTTCTTGCATGGCTGCCTTGCCAACTCACCGCCTTGAGCCTTGCTGCCTGCCTTGTTGCCTCACTGCCTTATTTCATTGCTGCCTTGTTGCCTTCCCGCCTTGCTGTTTAGTTGCCTGCTGCTCATAGTGCCACCCCACCACTTGCTTGCTGTCTCGTGCTTAGCTTCCTTCCCACCTTGCTGCTCAGCTGCACTGCTGCCGTGTCAGTTGCTTAGCTTCCTTCCTCAATGTCCCTTGCTTCAGTGTCTTGTTGCCTGACTGGCTTCTTGCCTTTCACCTTTTTGCCCACTGCCCATCGGGTCAAACTGCTGCTTGCCTTGTCTTTTGCCTGCCATCGACAATGCTGCTTGTTGCCTCACTGCCTTGCTGCCTTGTTGCCTGCAGGCTGCTGCTCAACGTGCCACCCTATCGCTTGCCTTGTTGTTTGGCTGCGCACATGCCTCCCCCCTGCCTTCAGCCCATGTGACTTTTTCTGTAGTTTGTCATCCAGTGTGGCATTGCCCTTGCCCTTGCTTTGCTGCTTGAAATATGACCTGCTGCCCATCCACGTACAACAGGATTCGAGGAGATCATGACTCAAAATATAAATATAGGACTTTTGCAGACTGTTGAGGCTTCGGCCTTGTGATGAGTGGGCGCAGGTCTGATGAAACAGCTTGTCACAATCCTTGGTTGTTTTCCTTGTCTTCAGCCTCGTACTTGGTACTCTTCTTGTCCTTCTCCCTTCCACACTTTGCACATTTGCACTGGCTGCAAGCTACTATCAGAGTGTTTTCTAGACACACTGTGGACACAACGTACACAATGCATAACTTGAAACTTCTCTTCAATCTCCTGTGGTCCACTTGTGCATTTTCTGGTCTTTCCTATGCTGCTGCTTTGTGTCTAAGTAAACACCTTCAAAATGTGCCAAATAGTCAGTGCCTGTTTGTTTGCAGTCCCAGCAACATTATTAGCAGGACTGCTATGTTTTGGACGCCTGTGTCTGTGTTCCCTGGGTGATAACACCTCTGACGGACGTCTGAACCCACAATTGGTAGAGTTCTGCTTGTGGTGCGAGTAGGTGTAGTTCTGGTGCATGAGTGGACTGTCTCCTTGGTGCTGCCCTGTTGCTTTGCTGCCCTCTCTTTTCCCCCGTTTTGCTCGTCACCGTGCTGCATTGCCATTTGCCTGCCTTGTTGCCCTGCTGCTGTTCCCCACCCTCGTTGTCGTCCTCCTCCTCCTTTTTCTTTTCTTTTTCCCCTTCTTTCCATCTACTGAAAGCTGTCGTGAGCGCTGACAGATTTGACCATTATCCATAAGGACAAGTTCAGTCAACACTGTTTGATCATGCCATCTTCCGCTTGAGAGTAGGTTAACAACAGTCGTATTTTTCATCACCACTTCAGGACACCCTTCACCAGTTCAGGATGCAGTTTGCCTAAACAGGTGGTTTTCAGGGTCTTCGGACCGTTCACCACTTCAGGACCATTCAGGTCCGAAAATCCTGAATGGTCCTGAAGTGGTGAAAGCTCCGAAGACCCTGGAAACCACTTGTTTAGGCAGGCTGCATCCTCAAGTGGTGAAGGGTGGTTTTCATGGTCTTCGGACCTTTCACCACTTCAGGACCATTCAAGATTTTCAGACTGCCCAAAACTCTCACTTGACCACTTCAGGACACCCTTCACCACTTCAGGGTGCAGCCTGCCTAAACAGGTGGTTTTCAGGGTCTTCGGACCTTTCACCACTTCAGGACCATTCATGATTTTCAGACTGCCAAAAACTCTCACTTCAGAATTTTCATTCCTGAATTTTCAGCTACCCGATAACCGCTTGTGCTTCCGCTTGAGGAAATTTTCGGACGGATCGCTTGACAATTTGTTATAAATCTGCCAATGTTGCTTGGATTGAGCACCCCTGTTGGGTTTCCTAGGGAATTTGCACGCCGTCTTGTGTTGCTAATTGTGCTGCAAAAGGTTGCAGGAGGTTATGTTCACACCCCCCCCCGCTGCCCCCCCCCCCAAAAAAAAAAACCGCAACCCCCCCAAACCCCCCAACCCGTACACACACACACACACACACACACACACACACACACATGCTTCCTCGAGAGTGAGATCCATCCAATACGGCTGCCAGCCATCTCGCCCCTTTACCATTCGCCCCCAATATGTGCACCCCAATACACATACAGGACGAAAGACTTATTGGAATTTTACTCAGAATACAAAGGTGACCCTCATCCAAAAGTCCTCTTTCATCTTTCCTTCTCCTTCCTGGCTGACCCATTCTCGGATAGGCCCATCCGGCATCCGGATAACCATATCCAGCCAGAAAATCCCAGACACCCCTGGGGGGACCCAACTACCCGAAAAACTGCCTGGAAACGAAAGATGTTGTTGATTGTCCAACAGTGGACAGCGAAATACACAGATCGGAATGAACTAGAGCAGAAAATCATGCTTGCGAAAAATAGGAGAGAATGCATGGAACAGTAAGAACAGGTAATAAAGGACTTGGATAAACACCTGGATGATCGGAGATACATGAACTAAGCATCGATCGAAAGGGGGTGGTCTCTTCGATGACACCCTTTCCACAGACGGCCAATCCCTTGAATCAAATGCAAGTTTCACGGGTAGAGTCCACAGTATAGCTAGCAACATTTACCGGAATTCCACTCTGCCACCGCGATCACTAGCACCTGTTGTCACTTTAAGCATTGTTCTTTTCGCTTCGCTTCTGGCACTTACAAAGACGAGGTAAAACCAGGAGAGTGAAAAAACTGACCGGCGGATAATGCAACATCGGAAACGCGATTCCAGAAGAACGCTTGGCCGAAGTCGTCGAAGAGATGCCTTGTCATCCGCCAAATTGCATGCGTGATTTTCAGATCGACAACATGCTCAGCGAGTCACTTGCCCAGCAGCAAGTCCACGAGCGGCAACGTAGTGCACAACATTGCAAAATAACACCTGCCCTGCCCTCACGCGAGCAGATTTAGCATGTGATTGCTTCCTTACCTTCAGTATAACACGCTCCCGGCAGAGGAAGGGACATAAACTTTTGAGATAAGAAGAGGTAAAGACTCCTGCCCATGCCTGATCCCCCTACATACACAGTGTAAAGGCAACTGTGTCATGAAGCATAGCGAAACCTAAATGGCAACTCAGCAACCTCTCCTCTCCTGCTCCATCCATCAAATTTGTGAACCCCGCCTTTTCCAATAACACTCAGGTCACCTTCTTTCATCCCCATGCTCAAAGTCGTAGATCAGCCATCACGGGGTGGCAATGCCAAAGACGTGTTAAAGAGACTATTTTCTAAATCACAATGCAGGTTAGTTCCAAGTGCAATCGACCCAATTACATCTAATGGAAGGCTGTTTCACTGGGGGTAGGTACAGTCCACATGGACAACCGCTCACCCAGCAAACAAAGACACTAATGTGGAAAGGAGAAAGCTTACAGGAGATAGTGATGGCAGCAGACCAAAGCAGTGGTGTTTGAGGGGCAGAGGCATGTGAACAGCTGCAAATGTCCAACATGACGTTGTGAACAGCACTGCAAGAAATAGCGACCGATTGCAATACAACGCTTCAAAAGCATGCTCATCACCCAGCCGGCCCCGAGAAAAGAACAAGAAAACTGAAGGGACACTGACACCGACTAGGAGTATGCTCATCACCCAACCCCACCCCACCCCACCCCAGAAAGACGAGGAACTTACATGGAAAGCAACAATGACACTGACTCAGAGTTCAAGAAACTGATAAACTAGCCGCTGTCAAGACTTCGATTTGACAAGAGACTTGATCGGACGACCAACCGTACAGAATCAGGACAAGTGGCCAGACAGTAAATGGTACTCCAATTTCCAAAGTACACAACCTGCCACAAGTTTATTATTTTCACGGAGCCAAAACAGATAAAAGCCTAACGGAGGTCATCAGCATCAACAAAGGCGAGCCAAGCAGGCGACAGGAGTTTGGAGAGGCATAGCGTATCAAACTCCACCGATACGAAAGCTAGTAGTTATAGACCTCAAGGTAAGAAAGACGCAGGCGACTTACTTGATCAGGCCTTTTCCGTGCCTCAACCCGCCACTTAAAAAGCTTATTGCTGCCGGAAATTACAGAGTTTGACATTTCGCCGCTCCTCATCCCCGGCATACACTTTGTGTAACCGCTGCCAATGCAGGGGCCCGGTAACCACCCTCTGAATTTGCAAGAGAAACCTGGGTGCTTTCTGCCACGATGAAAAACACCATACAAGGTGATAACTCATATTTCAAAGTAGAGGACCTACTGAATGCCCTGAGGAAATCGCGAAGACAATTTGCAACGAACACCGGGTTCATCTGCTGACCAACTTCCTTGGACCATCCGTCACCGTCACCAAACCTCCAGATCTTCAAGACCGTTCACCATCACCGTCACCATACGTTAGGTGAATTACTCGAGTCCTCTCCGAACCATACAAGATAGTCGGCTGAGGAGCAGGATCCAATGCAGTGGCTGCCACAACAGTAGCGACATCGTAGAGACCACTTACCCCCCATCATCCCGACAGCTCAACATCGTCAAGAGTCAAGATCACTTACCCTCTTCACTCAGCATAACAATTGCCTTTGGAGTATTATAATTTATAACCTACCCGTAAGACCTCGTCATTTTCTCGCCTTTAAATCGAACAACAGGTTGTCCAGATCTTCTTGCCATTCATAGCTGTTTACCATTGTCGCCATTTCCGACTCAGCAAGAAAGCAGGGTCATTATCTTCATAACCGAAACGCAGGATGGGTAGACGAAGGTTAGAAGAGTAACAGACATGCCCTTACTATACTACTAACTGTTCCCTGCTGGGGACACCAGTGAACACTCACCGGGAGATTGGAGCTTCATGTTGCGGCTGTCTCCCAACTCTACAACGCTGAGCATTACCATAACATCCTGCCAACCAGAAAAATTATTCCCCAAATGTTCTTGGAAACAAAACAAGGTCAAGTACAGATTAATTGTAACAGAGAATGGCACAGTCAACCCAGCTGAAAAGAGAAACGTCGGGAGCATGGACAGCAGAAAACAAAACCGTCAGCTGAGTCGTCATCCTAATTCCACGTGCGATACACATATTAAACGTGTGATATGCCCTGGCAGGTGCCCTACTCCACTAGACCGTTGATACCCCCAAATAGATGGGACGCATGTTTGCAGTGCTGGAAACAGGAAAATGACAATATATGCGTGACAACTAACTTATTCCATTCAGAATGTTGAAAGCCACCCCTCGATGGGATCCATGTTAGTGAGGAAAGCACAGGTCATCCTCACCATCAGGCCCTCTCCACGGGCGATTACTGAATCTTTCCACTGGAACTGGAATCATTGCGCCTTTTTTTTAGAACCCTGTCTCCAACACGTCTCTCATCCTGATCTTGCGTCCACGCAGTGAAAACCACAAGCGTCACGACCTCAACAGCAGCAAAGGATAACCAATGTGTCCCAAAGGACAAACCGAGGGAATGATGCATACGTGTATGTATGACAGTAAATAGGCATGCGACCTGTCCCAGCCCAGTGCCAAGTGCGCTTCGAGACTTCAATGGCGGCAGAGCTTTAATAGTTACAAATAAAAATCAGCTGCTGAAATATAGATATTGTATATGTTATGCAACGTGTGTCAGCGGACTGCCCCTGCACCTGCCAAGACTTGGATAATGACGAAACATAATAAACAAGACATTATGGAGAGACTAAGGCAATCAATGAAACACATCACATCATCATCCTTCTCTGCCCTCCCTTTCAGAAAATGAGGCTGTGCGGAGCGTCTCGAACTGCATCATCTTTCCATACTGTCTGAAATCCAGAACCATCACCGTTGTATTATCAGTGGTGCGTGCCGCACGCGCTTTTTCGAGAATAGACTCGGCCATTGCCTCTGCCGGTGTCATCTTGGAGTCTGTCAATGTTTGCAAAGACTGGCTTGCTTCTTCTGTGAGTTGCAAAGCTCTCTTCGCACTCATGACATCCCAAAGACCGTCACTGCAGGCAATCAACAGCAAAGCACCAAGAGATTCAACAAAAATCAAAAGGACTGCAAAGGAGATGTTACCGTCTGCATCCTGGCTGGTGATGGTGGTGGTCGTGGTGGTCCCGAGGGCGGGGCAGAGGGGGGGGGGGGGGGGGGGGGGGGGGGGGGGGGGGGGGGGGGGGGGGGACGCAGAGGGGTCTGAGGGGAGCTTCGAGCCATCGAATCAGAATGGGTGGGGGAGAAACAAGGGAAATCCAATTGTTTAATTAGGGAAAAGGATGGGGGAGAAACAACCTGGAATCTCAACCTGGCAACCAAATGAACATCTATACTATTCTATAGACAAGTAGCTGCAGATGTCTATATACGTTTTCAACCTTTCACTGAAGAGTGTTCGTATATACAAACGGGCCTACCATCTTCAGCCGCATAGAACGCCCGGTCATTATAGCTAATACATTTGGCCCAACTTTCAGTCCAGATGCAGCGATAATGACCAGGCGTTCTATTCGGGTGAAGACGGTAGGTCAGTTGGTACACGCCTGAGCTGTTGAAATACAGACCTCCCGTCCAATCCAGATATCAATGAAGTCAAATAGCTCTGGATTACCTGGGGCCGGCCAGAATAGCAATGATACCTCAAGGCCGTCGAAGAGTGTTCTTATAACTGACACCTAACAGCAGTAGCTGAACCCGAACAAAGGACAAAGAGAAACAGAAGGATGTGAGTCATGTGACAGACTTACCTTGCCATTACTGCTGTCACATCGCCATCGAAATCAAAGGAGAGCACCGAACTAACGTATGGCTCCGGGGAGAGGCCCACATCCTGGCCCTTGAGGAATTTGTCGCCGAGAACCCTCGCAACATTCATCCCTGCATACCACATAAACAAAATAAATCAGACATCAGTGCAGAAGAAGACACACGTACACGGAGAGAATGAATGGACAATGGACATACATTACAGAGTGATGAGTCACTGATGAACATTTTCCCGGCAGCCCTTGACAAAAGAGTCCACGGCGTCCAGCTAAATAAAAACTGGAGGGGACATACAGGGGGACAGCAGACCCCCCAGAAAACACGGCCGCTTTTGACTCACCGAAACCGAAGACCAGGGGCATCCTAGGGTTTGGAGTTTGTTCAGGCAGTCACCCACGGGGCAGACTGCGAGGGAATAGTGAATAGGGGGAGGGGCCTTGAAAAGTGTGGGCAACAACGACAGTCAACTCTTTGTGAAGGAAGCAATCAATGCGGTCGGGCTCCCCGCTTAGTCCCCAGGTGGTAATGTGGGGAGGCGTTGGAGTGAGTTTTATGTAAAAGACTTCACGGCCCAAAGGAGCCTCTCTTAACCCCCCCACCCCCCCACCCCACAAAAAAAGAAACGACAAAAAAAAACTTCACAAAAGAGAAAGAAAAAGAAAGAAAAGAAAAGAAAAGAAAAGAAAAGAAAATACAAAAGAAAAAGAAATCACCTGCATGAAATTGCATCTAACACAAAATAGAGCGAGGACACATCGCTAAATGATGGTTGGATGGCTGGATGGAGGATGGATGGAAAAACAATGGACATTCATAGTCGTCCAAAAAATTTTGGTGTCACCCATACATGTCAGGGCAGGGGGTGATAGAGAGGGAGATGCAGTGGGAAGCAATTACATAAAGAAGGGAGGCAAGTCAAGGACTGGAGGTAACGTCATAGGAGGAGGAAGAGGAGGAGGAGGAGGAGGAGAAGGAGCAGAACGTAACTGGAGGCCTTCACATACTGGTAGAGGTCCCCTATCTTGTCATATCCATATTCACATTACATTCTGACAGGGGTAATCACGGAATACGCTCCAGAGTTGATGGTAACAACAGATTCTAGATGGGATGTAACAGCCGCAAAGATAAACACGCACTTCGTTTGCAGTCATGCACTCAAAAGAGAGAAATTACTTTGGCAGGTTTTCCCCCTCTTTCACCGACAGTCAGTGTTGCATACCCCGACGGTCGGCACCCCTTGACTGGTCGGATGCCGACCAGCCGACCGGTCGGCTAGTCGGCACCTACCGGTTGGGGTTGCCCAGTAAAAAAAAAAAAAAAACTCCCCCCTACACCCACACACCCCCACCAATACCCCCTATACCAACAATGTGCCCCCCTATACACCGCCCCCCCCCCAAAGTTTCTCTGTGGATTTGGGCTGTACTCAGCAAGCGCAGTACAGCCCCCACCTCTGTGGATGACTGTTTTTTGACTGGTCGGCAGACCGCCGATCGATCAGCCCTACTGGTCGGCTGCAAAACGATCGGCGGTCGGCAGCCATGCAACACTGCTGACAGTGAAAAAGAGCCTGGAGCATACTAGAAAAACTTCAGCAAACCGGATACCAACTGGCAAATACTATCAAGCTCTTCATCGTGGGATTATGCTACTTGACAAGACAGTTTCTACATTTCCCATACCTAAAGCTTCATATAACCTTTGAGGAGGTCGAACACTTAAACGGAACAAACCAGCCAATATTCCTAAAATTCCTGCAAGTTTGATTCAACCACCGACAGGCGAATAGCAAGGTGGGAGAGAAGAATCCTCTGTACCAAGGCAATCGAACTTCAAAGCAGAGGAAAGGCCTCTGCACAAGGGCTGCAAAAGCTCACAGAATATGTCAAATGAGACCTGTCACGAAGCAGTCGACCAGTAGGGCAACCTACCGCAAAGCCGGTTTGCAGAATCTTCCACAGGATGGCCACTCTTTGCCAATCTTTCCCGTTCTTGCGGAGTGTTTACTCTATGATCCTCTGTCATGGGAACAGACCTCCCTCCAATACTGCAAGAACACACGCAAAAAAACAAAAAAAAAGTTGGTAAACCCACTGGCAGTGTGAAATAAGCAATAGCCTTCCTGCATCCATAAACATATTTACCGTGTTGCCAAGGTCACATTCACACGAGCACAACGTGACCAGCTGTGAATCTTTCCCGTTCTTGAGGAGTGTTTACTCTATGATTCTCTGTCATAGGAACAGACCTCCCTCCAACACTGCAAGAACACACACAAAAAAAAATGACGGTCCAGCCGGGTCAACCCATTGGCATTGTGAAATAACTTCAAATAAGTAACATCCCTCCTGCATCCATAAACGTATTTAACATGTTGCCAAGGCCACATTCACATGAGGACGACGTGACCAGCTGTGAATATACACACCACCAGCAACCACCGGTCTCACATGCCTACAAGTAGCCGATACGCATGGAGCAGGAGCCAAGGATCACCATGAAGAGAAACAACAATGACAATGCAATGGAAGACTGAAAACACAGATCTAACTCTTCAGGATAGCAAGATCAGATGCATACATCCATCATCACTCGCACACATGAATGGCATGGTGATGCAAACCAAGAAGAGAATCGCCATGGCCCAAACACATCTGCATCCACAGACGAAAGAGACGAAGAGGGAAGAAGACAGGGGAGACTCCAACTCAACAGCCCTGCTAAGGAATAGTCTCCACAACAGCCCTCAAAGTCCCTGTCCAGAATGCATTGTCGGAATCTGGGCAGATAGCCCAAATAGCCACAGCTCTCTCACTCTCTCCTCTCTCATAGAGCAAGGAGAAGGAGAAGAAGAGGTGGGTGTGGAGGGCAGAATCAGGGAAGAAGAAGAAGAAGCAGGTCTCCTCTCCCCCTCTCTCTCTCCTGACTAGGTACTGACAAGCAAAAGCCACCATCTTGAGCTGTGCTGCAGTTGGACGCAGCATGACGGAGAACTCCGACTATGGTGCCCAACATGTAAGCCCCCAGGTGAGTCTCTCTCTCTCTCTCTCTCTCTCTCTCTCTCTCTCTCTCTCTCTCTCTCTCTCTCTCTCTCTCTCT